TATATTTTTTGATTTTTTTGAATTAGTTATGCTCAACCCTAATCAGTCAAAACCCCTCCCAAAACCCCGCACACTTCCGGGTCGTCGATTGTTGTGCGTGGACGGTTGAGATCAGGCGCTAGGGTTAGCTACAGTGTGCATCGATCCGCATGAGACGCGCTGATTGGTTGAATCAGTGTGCATCGATCCGCATGAGACGCGCTGATTGGTTGAATCGATGGGGTTTGGATCAGCCTCTCTTGTTGGGGCATCAGGACCGTTCATTTGAATCCAACGACAAGAGTTGACGCGGTGCATGGACCAAGCCTACGCAGTGCCCTTTCCATCGTTGCATGCGTGCCCGTGCCTACCCGCAGCATGCATGCCCACCCGCAGAACTGCGCCCGTGCGTTGCATGCATGCTCTCGATGTAGCCCTGCTCCGCCACCCCCATCGACGCAGTAAGCTGTCGCATGCCTACCATTATAACCGATGCATCGTCGCATCAAAGCATGCACCCGGCCACAATGCAGCAGCCCAATGAAGACAACCAAAAAGCCAACACTGCATGGCGTGCTGTACATGGCGTGCTCCTCTTTGAGGACGCAATACTGGCATGGGGTATCGATGTGGGTATTGATGCAGTTCAAACGGCGTGCTGCCCTTTACAAGATGGGCAAATGAAGGCGTCCATTATTGTCACGTCTCCCATCGACCGAACATTGCCCTCTAGCCAGGCCCTAGCAAGATGCGCAAATTAATGGGATACAACATGAATGCACGCGCGGCGCACGCAGAGAACCCGGGGCAGGCGTGTCCCCTTGACCCACGACGGCACGGATGCGTGCGTGAGCCCGTCCCCCTTGACCCGCGACCGGTGGCACAGAAGGATCGCAGCCCGTTTCCCACGCTCGTGTACACACTTTCATGGGGCGCCACCAAACGCCGCCCGCCCATTAATTCTACGGGGTGAAACCACGTCGCACTTGGGCTATTTAAGCCAGGCACTATCGTCTTCCTCTCCCTCACCCCCTCATCCACACCCCATCCTCTGCCTCCTCTGCCCTCCTTCTTCCTTCTTCTCCATCAAACCAGATCGAGCTCTCGAGCCACCCCGCCACCATGCAGTATAATGCCCCCACCTACCGCTTCCCCCCAACCGTGCCGGAAAGGCTCTACCCGGCCGGAGTGTATGTAGAGAGAACGCTTAGGGTTTGGGCGATCTCGAGGTGGAGGGGCGCAAGGGAGTTAACGGAGTTCTTCCTTGCGGCCGGCTTCCGCCACCTCCCCCGCGACTCTCCTCGGATGTACCATCTTGAGGAGGTCAACCACAACGGCGTTGTGGTTGGGCTCCTCGCCACGTTCACTAACCCTTTCGATGCTTTCCATCTCCTCGGGCGGGCGTATTGGGTTGGTTGTGAGTTCATAGCTTTCACAACCTACAATATCTTCACCGACTTCAACGCCATCTTCCCCAACAACGGCGTTATGCACACGCTCCCGTACCCCATCAACAACGTGGAGGAGTGAAGGGCGGCGCCCGGAGGAGCGAGGTGGCCCCGGAGGAGGAGGAGAAGAAGAACCCGAAGAACCCGCGTTTGGTGCCCCCCTATCTATCTAGATCTATCGTATTAGTTTTTTTAAGTTCTAATCGTTGTGGTACTATTATTAAGTTTTATTAGTACTTTAAGTTGTAAGGCTATCATGGAGTTGTAAGGCTATCGTGGAACTATGGGTTGCAATCGTTATGCTACTATATATATTGTTTTGTTTCGTGCTATTATTTGTGGATTGCTATGGTTTGTTTTTGCTTATTATTCGTGTATTGCTATGGGTTGCTACGGGCCCGGGTTTCTACACCCCAATCACCACACCCAAACCATGGACATGCAACTAGGAGCCCCATGCAAACCCACTATGGACATGGGTGCAACTAGGAAATGCAAACTAATTTACTTCGGGCACTTCATGCAAGCATGCAACTCATTTAGTTCATGGAACCGTAGACATGCATAAAAACAATTAACATTTAGTTTTAGTGCATCAAAAAGTGATCCATCACAAAATTTAGTGCAAGAAAAAGGCCAAAATAAAAGGACAAGTAACATTTCATTGGGCCCCATTTTATTTGCCGAAGTTAGAGGTGGGCTGATGCCCTTATGCGGGTGGGCTGGTCTTGGGCATGGTTATTTTCTCAGGGCCCATTTTCTCACGGCCCAACATCTATTCGGCAGCCCAGTTTTGTTTTTTTTACTAGAAACTGAATTTGGGTGTGTACTTTGTTAACGGAAGAACAAAAACAGAGGAAACAGAGCATGAACACTGAATAGGGCCCCCTGAGAATATCATTACAATAATTCAAGCAAGTTTTGCTTCACACTAATTCAAATTCATCTAACAAATGGTCCCTGGCTAACTCAAACTACTGGGCACCCCTGAAACTAGTTGACACACTAACTGAAACTCTAACAAATTCTAGCGATTGATGAACATCAAGTAAAATAAACCCATAGCAATGAGACAACCATAAAATGCTCCAGCCATCATATTTGCTTGCTGCTTCAAATCGATCAGATGCTTTAGTTGCTTGCCAATTTTCTTCAATTCACACTTCAGTTCTGCACTGTGCATCATCGGATCGGCTCTGTCTGCCAAATTGGGGGCTTGTTCCACGGCAAGCCGCCCCCAAAATTGAGCTCTTGGGTTCCGGTTGATCCCTCCAATTTCAACCTTTCAACATAGTCATCGAGCCACTCAAAATGCCCACATTTTTTCAGAACCTGAAAAACAGGGGGGCGGAGGCGCATGAATCCTAGATCCACCACCCAGATCCACCGCCCTAATTCGAGGAAAAAAAGAAAGAAAACGGGAGAAATTAGACCATAGGATTGGTCAAGAACACAGATCTAACCTGCCCCGGCTGTGGCTTGCTCAAGCATTTCACAAACTCGCGCCCACAGTTTCCATTTTCTTCCCTCACACAAGTCAAACGCTTCAGAGGCTCCATGCGCGGGCAATTGGGGCATCTTGTCAACGGTAGTGGACCATACTGTGTCCATGATTGGCGGGAGGCCAAAGTCGAGCTAGACATCACTCGCCGGCGGCGCGCTTCGTTGCCGGAGCAGAGGAAGAAGAAGGTGGGAAAGGAAAGGGGCAGGGCAAGCAATGGAGGGCGGGGGGTGGGGTGGGCTGGCTCGGGCTCGTGGCTGGCTCTGCTCGGGGCACGCTGATGAGCACGGGCATGCTTGCGTGGATAAGTTGTGGGTCCCACCCGCATGCGAGTAACTGCTAGGTCCCGCGTGTCATAACTCGAATCGCTAACCCCTCGTGTTTTTCATTTCATGGTTAAACAGAGCCATGTCGCATTGGAGCTATTGTTTGCTTCTAAAACGTCACATCACAACCATTCATTTCAACAACGTCGCACTCCTTCCAATTCGCATGAAAAACGTCGCACAGGAGCTATTGACCCGGTGTTTCCTGGTACGCCTTCCTACTCTTTTTCTCTTTTTTTTTCTCTTTTGAATGGGCATGAATCTCAGCTCGTTTCAGCAGCCATGGCAGGCCTGGCGATGTGAGTTTCTTTCGTGGGGAAGAAGATGCTGTGTTTTGCCTTTCGGTTTGCATTTTTTTCGCTCCTAAACGAGACGGCCAAAATTCGGTCATTTTAAAAATATCGGTAAAATCTTGGACGAAATTACAAAACCAAAATTTGAATTTTAAATGAAATTTAACAAAAAATTGGCAGAAATTCGTCCGAAATTTTTGAAAACGAGCAGAGAAAAAATATGATAGTCGAACAACACTGAGGAATACGTTTAAAAACTATGCATCAGGTCAACATCATCATCAGTTCCAAAAGAAAAAGATTGAAACATGGACAGGGAGAGGTGCTTCAGAGTTGAGGAGGAGTTGCCGATGGATTCAGCCGCAGCGCGCAGCATGCAGCCCGCACAGATCGGCAGCAGGGGCTGGGTCGCCGGGAAGGCGCGAACGGGGCAGGAGCAGCAGGCTCGAGCGGGGAGGCAGGCCGTGACGAGCGGAGGAGCCGCATCTGGGGCGTAGCGCCGCCGCCGCACACACATGTCGAGCAGGAGATCGTGATTTGTCTAGGGTTAGGGCGTTTGGTTCGATCCTTTTATATTGGGCAAAGCGTGCAGAGGCTCCATAAGTTGGATTGGGCCAAAAAGAGTACAAACTGGGCCAAAAAATTTGGCCGGTACAGACATTTACCGGGCCCAGGCGAGATGGACGGAATTCGGCCGAAAATCAAAACACAGAGAAGATGTCATGGGGCAGTTGGGGTGGAGGGAGGGAGGGTCCTGGGCCAGCTGTAGGAAGGAATGACTCGGGGGAGGTGCACGTGATCCCCAAGTCCAGATGCCCGCGCGCCGGGGGACGCGTGGTTAGTGAAGGGCGCGTGACTATGTAGCATGGGCGGCGTGGGATGGGTACTTTCCTTTTCTGGCCGAAGGGGACCAGGTGCTTTCCTATTTTGGCCGGCCGCTCGGGAACGCTAGCAGGACAATGCGTGCTCGCTAGACGTGTCCCAATAAGTAATGTTGGATCTCCATCCTACGATTGGGCCATGGACAGACCAGCCGAAGAGTCCAGTGCTTTCTCAATCTAGTCCTTCCCTCGGTTTCACCGATACATCACCCAAAACCATAGCCGTCGCCGCCGCCCCCCTCCACTTCCGGAGCCACCCAAACCGACCACTAGACACCATGCCGACCTCCTCGCATGTCGTCGGCAACGGCCTCCCCTCCGGATCCGCATCCTCCATCATATCCGGGGTCGTGAGAGGCTACCACTTGCTGAAGATCGTCGGCTACTCAGGCACCAAGGAGATCCCCAATGGCGAGGGGATCGAATCTTGCCTGTTCCGGGTGGGAGGCTGCACATGGAATGTACGTTACTATCCCAACGGGTTAAGATCTGAGTACAGTGATTACATAGGCCTTTGTCTCTTCTTGAATGATACAGTCGCCGGCGAGGTCGAGACTGTGAAGGAAAAATTCATGTTCGGCTTACTTGACCAACATGGGAAGCCGGTGCCATCATATACCGGTACTTCCGACACCAGGGAATTTTCTGTGCATAAAGGTCATGGGTTTGGCGGATTTATGAAAAGGGTTCAATTGGAGGAATCCGAGCATCTCAAGGATGATTCCTTCACGGTCAAGGTCGATGTCACTATCATGAGCGAGTTCCATACGCAGGAGACGCCATCTATCCTGGTGCCACCTTCTGATTTGCACCGGCACTTAGGGGTTCTTCTGTCGAGCAAGGCAGGCGTCAATGTCAAATTCCAAGTTGGTGGGGAGACATTCTCGGCGCACCGATTGGTGCTTGCGGCACGGTCTCCTGTCTTTAGAGCAGAGTTCTTTGGCCAGACGAGGGAGGGAACCACCACTGAGGCCATACGCGTACATGACATGGAGGCACCAGTGTTCAGTGCTCTGCTTACTTTCATGTACACGGATGCATTGCCGGATATGAAGCAAGAAGAAGAATATGCCTTGGCTCAGCATCTGCTTGTTGCGGTAGACAAGTACAACCTGGAGAGGCTGAAGCTTATTTGTGAAGATAAGCTGTGCAATCGTATCGATACGAGCTCCGTGGTGACTATCTTGGCATTGGCCGAGCAGCATCAGTGCCATGAGCTTAAGGCAGCATGCTTGGTGTTCCTCAGCTCGCCGACGAATCTGGGTGCGGCCATGGAGTCTGAAGGTTTCGAGTTTTTAACCAAGAGCTGCTCTGGTGTTATTAAGGATCTCCTCAAGTCCCAGGTTGCTGCTAGTATACTTTGGAAAAGAAAATCTAGGGCATGAACATGAGGTTACAGTCCTGCATATCGTCATTTGCAATCATCCGTCCAGAAACTGACTACAGACCCTGCAGGCTATCTTATACGCATTAGTGCTTTTGATGTGTAGTCTTGATCTCACAAGGATGTGATGTATGGTGGTTCGACAAGCTATGCGCGAAGCAAAACCGTATGTGCTAATTAGTGAACATTTAGTTCAGAACTTGTAAGCCTTTCAATTAGTTGCCCTGTACATTGTGCCGCTGTGAGCATTGCGCTGCTTCCTGAGTTCATGCACCCCTTGTTCAGTATAGGGCACTTCTTATTTAGCAGGTTCAGATAGACCATGACTTGTTGAAATGCTGGGTTGGGATCCAGTGAAAAAGCATTGGTCTTGTCAGGTTTTCAATTTTTTTATGGCTGCAGTTTGTACTTGATGATTTTGGACATGGTAGTGGCTGCTAAGGTAGTGATCTGAGGAATGTTTTGAAGTTTAGTCTCGAGTATTATTATACAAGCTTATGATGTCATTTTGTTGCTGTTTCAGATTTGTAACCAGAAGCTGTTTTGTTCTGTCTTATACATCTGAAGTTGTTGTTTTCGGATTAAAGATCAAATAGTTGCAAATTTCATTAAATTGATAATTAAGTGTACATCCAAAAGTAAAAAGGGTTCAACTGTTTACTTGCCAAGATGTCAGTACTTGTGCAGAAGTTCATTTTCGATAACCTTGTGATTGTAATAAACACATCGCTTGGTAGTTTGCATATTCACTGGCTCATTACATGCTCATCTTTCTGGTAGAATAGAACTTAATTTCCCTTTGCTTCCTAAAGCTGGATCATTTCTTAGTTCTGGGACTGTCTGTCTGTTGTCACTTTACTCATTGGTTGCTGGAATCTTTGGTATGAACACACCTTATGGCTTATGCTGTAATGACGACCATGGACACGTCTTTAAATGGGTGAATGACAGTACTTGACAGTAACATGCTTTGTATAGTAATTGCATATTATGAAGTATTGTACTGTAACAATTTGTGTTCCTCATCTAGCATGTGGTTCTTGTACCAGGGCTATCTGTGCCATCAGGTTCTTCTCTTCTCTAGTGTGCTGCCTATACTCTGCACAAGGATCTCATCACTGGGTCCTGAGTTTTGACTAGCTGGAATAACCGCATTACTCGCTTCCCTCAACTGTAAATTTTAAGCTAGAGCATCAACTTTGCGGATGATTCATCTCTTGTGCCAATTTTGTTTTTCAGGGAATTGTGCCAAATTCAATAGCATGTTTTTTTCCTCTTGAGGGAACTATTTTGGAGAAAATCCAGGACGAACCATTTATATATGCTTGAAAACGCAAAAACAGAGTTTCTTAAAAGGAACGAGAAAGCTATACTAACTGCACAGGCCAACTTGAACAGGAGAGGCAAGATTGGCAAACATAGTTCCCCGAGTGGTGTTGGAGCAGCAGTTGGACTGGACCAAAGCATCAAAGTCATCATCACAACGAGAAATTCGCCGCGGAAAACCTAAACTATATGCGGAGGCATTCGAGCAGCGCCTGGACCAACGCATCAAAGTCATCTGCGAAGCGACATAATACCACCGAGATAAGCTCATCTTCATTGAGGAAAACCTTTGCGTTGCGATGCTTCTAGATAAACCAAACTATATACGGAGATAAGAACCGTAAAGCATAGTACTTCACAAAAAGGAGGTCCTCCGAAAGATCTATAGTCGACAATCCTTTTGGGATAGTCTACAAGGGCTCTCCGCCTCCCGCGTCGTCCCCGCGAGCGACCGGGGGGAAACCCTAGGGCGTCATCGGCCGGGCCCCCTCCCCTCGTCTTCCTCCCTCGCCGCTGCCTGTTCGCACCGGCTGACGAAGCCCGTTTGGTGTTGGCGGCGGCGGGGCCTCGTCTCACCCTGCTCGGGCTGCGGCGGCGCGGGATGCCTGGCTCGGACAGAGGCGCTGCTCTTTCGAGGGGCGCGGCGGCGTGGCAGCTTGGTCCGGCGGGGGGGCTGTTGGTCCGGGGTGGCGGCGTGGAGGGCCTCGCGGTGGTGGGCGCACCCGTGGCGGCGGCGGATCTGACGCGGCGGCGACGGTGCATGTGGTTGCGGGCGGGCCGGTTTCCGGCCAGATCCGACTGGATTTGTCGCCGGGGACCCGGCTGGTGGCGCAGGGCAGCAGCCGGGGCTCGTCCTGGTCGCGGATTCGGGAGGGAACGGCGGCGGTTGCCGGCCTGCTCCTTGGATCTGGCACAGGGCCGTCGGCAGGGGGCTCGGAGCAGTCCCTTGGGATCCTGGCATGGATGCGGGCTGCCACAGCGTGGTGGTAGCCCACGGCGGTGGTCGGGGTCGTCTCACGGCGGCGGCCGGATTTTCTCGGCGTCGACCGGTTGGTGAGCGCCCTTGTTGACCTTCGATTCCTCTCCTTGTCGTTTAGGCACTACCTTCATCAAAGGGTCGGCCCTCCCCTAGTTGCGATTCATCGCTCGTCTCGCGCCCGGCAGCAGGACCGACCTCGTCTCGCGCCCGGTAGCAGGACATGACTCATCTCACGCCTGGCAGCAGGACCGGACCCGTCTCGTGCCCAGCAGCAGGACCGGACCCGTCTCGTGCCCGGCAGTAGGACCGAGCTCGTCTCGCGCCCGACGGCAGGATGGGCCGACGGAGGCTAGTTTTGGCCGGCCTCGTGAGTCTCGGCACTAGGGGCAACTTAGGAGTGCTAAAGGCGGGGCCTTTCCTCTCGTCTCTTTGGTGGGGGTAGCGGTGGGTGGCGGGTGAGGTGGCATCGAGGTCTTGGATGCCGGGGCGGCGGCCCTGATGGTGGTGTCGCGGTGCTCTTGGGCGGAGCCCGGGGCTTGGTGCTGCCCGGTGACCATGGTCGTGTGGGCGGCATGGTCACCGGGGTGTGGCGTTCGGTAGTGGTGAGTATTGGCCGGGGTGAAGACCTGTTCTTTCTTCGGAAGGACCAGCGGCGGCGAATCTCGTTCCCTTTCTGAAGGCGTCGTCGCGGCACTCATTGCCCGTCGTGTTGCTCCAGGGGAAACTCTGATCCTTAGGTCGGGCGGTGGCGGCGCTCTGGTGTCGTTTTCTTCTTGAAGACGCCGCCTTGAAGCTCACGGTTCGTCGTATGCGACTTCATCTCTTCGCGGTGACATGTTCATGGTCGAGGACCTAGCTTCTCTTGTAGTGTTTGGGATGGTGTTGCTGCGCTCAGCGCCTATGTATCTTGCATCGGGTGTGTGCGTGTGTTGTGGCGTGCGTTTGTATCGGTTTGTTGTTGGTCAGTGCTTTATATATATAAGGGGGCGAAAGCCTTTTTGGGTAAAGATCTATAGTCGTGCTGCAGTTGGTCACATTTGAATGAAGAGCGGGTCGGACCGAACCTGCAGCCAAAACAGAAGAATGGACGGACAATGATGAAGACGATGCTCGGTAGTTTCAAAAAAGCACATAACGGACATGCGTCAGAAGAGGTCATTCGTATCGTCAAACCGCGTCGGTTAGTATGGAACTGGGGATGATGAAAAGGAAGAATAAATACTCCTAGAAGATGGCGTCGTATCAAGTGCATCCGGCTATGTGTTTGCATCCATGCATCCATCAACGCTGGCCATCCAACTTAAATACTGCGCTTGATGTAACACACCCCTTAATTTTGCAAAAACATGCCCGCCTCCATCCAGTTATAGTCTGGTGATTTTTCCAAAAACCCCTCAGCCGTGGTCCGGTTTACCGATTCCCTACTACACAATCCTTTTCTCAATGACGATTGCAACCAGTATCAGCGGCGGCACGGACGGAACGCATCTGCTTTGTCGATCGCCGGAATTGAACGCATATCTTTGGATGGTCGCCGCGACGGCGAGGATGGACTGCAACTCCCAGCCCCTAATCGATATGGCAGGCATATTCTGCTCGTGCGATGCGCCGCAACCGATCACCATGGCAGCAGTTAGGGATGGTGCGTCTGATTCAACAACAATGGATGAACTCCCAGCATCGTCCATAAATCAACATTGAGATTGCCTCCCAATCTAGCCACCAAGAAACTCACCTCACTTGCTCAGTTATTTTTGTGGAAAATGCTACCAACGCAGAACAGCAACGGAACAACACGACAGATGGAGGTTCAGGTAATACATAAAAAGAACTAAATGTTTTCTGTACATTATACATGTGTATTTGCTCTCTGGAATCTGGACGACTCATTATGTAAATGTAGGTGCAGCTGAACTGCTGAAGGCAACAATAGGTTGCAAACTCTAATGATTGAGGAAGAATTTGCTACGCCAAAAAAGAAAGCCAGCATTCTTCTATTTGTGAGTTTAATAAACTTTCCTTGACCATGCCATTTTTCAGTTTAGAGATTTATGCATAATGGTGATTATTGTGATTCTATCTTTCAGTGCTGGTCTTTTAAACCAAGATGCGACGAGAAATTGAAGCCTAAAGTGGGGAGGACATTTGAAGGGCTTGAGACCGTGGAGGAGTTATACAAGTCATATAGACATCATGTGTGTTTTGGAGCTCGTGTTGGACAGCAGAAAAAGTTGAACAATGTGGTGGTTAGGAGAAAGCCAGATGATGTTCCGTGATGGCCCTTAGTCTGTTAATATACATGAATTTAAACGAGTTATTAGTGTCGATTTCTTTGATGTACTGGATTCTCGTAATGGTTGGAATTATGTGTTTTGTCAAACTGTCTTCCTCTTATTTTCTCTGACTTATGTGTATTGAATGGAGTGTGGCAAGCAGCAATAGCACCAGTACATTATGTCACATAAACCTGAAGCATGCTCTGTTTTTCTCATACAAATAATCAACAACTATCACCCAAGAGAAATACAAGTCGAAGAAACTTTGTCATCCTGTGAGCGGTCATCCTTTTATTCAATTGTATAACAGTACCATCAATTCATCATTTGTTTGGCTGTTAGTTGCTAAAATAGTACCATCGTCGCTGTCGCGGCGACCGTTCGATAAGATGCGTTCTGTTCCAGTGGCATATGAATCACACAAGGAACAACTCAGTTTGCAAACCCACATCAACCTCAACAATAGAATTCACCAGAAGAAATTAAACAATCGTTTTGTTCAAAAAAATTCAGTCAACAACACCTTCACAA